GCCAACAAACATCATCATAATTGTCTGTAGTTCTAGCTTGTTCCAACACCAGTCTCAATATTTTTGTTAGGCTAGTTTATTAAAATAATTTTATTATTTATATAGTATGCAATTGATATTTTTTTTGAAGTTTTGTGGGCCCAATGGTAAACGATTCATTTTGTCAGGAAAATCCATTTGGTTAAAAATTAATATTAATATTGATTGGAGTATTTGTATAAGTTTTTTTTATATATTTCCTTAAAACATACAAATACCGTTTTCAAATTACTACTACTCCTCCATTTTCAAGATATAGATGCTAAATTTGCACAAAAGGTAATTAGTTATATCTGCCGCCAAATTTAATCAGGCGTTGAAAATTTTCACCAAATAATTTGTGGTAACACTAACACGTAATATTAGAGGCATTCTTTCCTGGATATTAATATGGAATTTAATTGAACCAATAGAAATTATTAATATAAATCTAAAAGCGCATTATGCAAATTGAATATATCTGGAGACACCTAATGTTGTGTGGCATAACAATACGTGTTGATTCTTCCACATCTAATTATATTTCACATTTGATAAATTACAAATCCAAAATTCTCAGTGAATAATCGAGTAACCGCCGATTATCCGGATGTCAAATTTTTAACTTGGCTGATTGACCAAGTACTCAAACATCCAGATAATTAACGGATACCCCAATAAATCTTGTATTGGTGTTAATTCAGGAATAAATCACATTGGTAGATTGATTTTGCAAACAGTAGTTCCAAATCTTCTTGTCCACTTTTAGAAATTCAGTCTATGAAATTATTAATTTGATTGATGAATTATTCTTGAATTGTTGATGATAATGATAATGACAATGACGATAATGAAGAATTGAAGATGATGATGATAAATTGTTGTTATTACTATTATTGTTGTTATTTCTTATTTACACTAAAAAAGATTGAAAAGTGATTTTTTAAATGTCCCGATAATATCTTCCATGTGATCATAATTACAATATTTACATCTTGCACATTTCCAGAAAGCCTCCAAACTTTCACAATAAAGAATGTTAAAAAAAAATTTTTTCATAGTTATTTATATAATTTCTCTATGCTGGAACATCTCTAGGTGCGCGCATGTGGTAATTTTATTTCAGTACTTATTGAGATAGTAGATGATTTGTGTTGTGAAATTCACAATTGTCAAAACTCAAAATTCTATATGTTAATCATTTATTTTACAAGCATTTACTAATTTTATCTCTAAAGGATTTGCAGTTATTGAGATAGTGGTATACAGTGTATTTCAAAAAAAAATGGCGCCAAAATGTAAAAAATGAAGAAAAAATATTCGCATGACAAAAAACGATCGGGTATCTTGTTTGAATGATAATAAACGCTTGTATATATGTTTATTACATGGCGCTTGCAACAGGATAATGATCCAAAGCACGCATCACGTGTTACAAAATCCTTCATTTTTGAAAAAAGAATTTGCATAATAGACTGGCCATCCAACAGTCCTGGTCTTAATCCCGTTGAAAATATGTGGTATATCATAAAAAATAATGTTGAAAAAAGTATGCAAAGGAATGTTGACGAATTGAGGGATTTATGGTCGAAGAATTCTTCAGGAAACGGTCAAAAATATTATTATGTCTATGAAACAGGAATGTGGTTGGTTTTAGAAAAATAACAGTGGTATAATTTCTTATTGATTTTTTTTATTTAATAAAATATTTGATAAGCTTTCAAATGAATCTAGTTTTGTTTATCTGTCTTGCATAATTGTTGAGATATGTGATTTATTGTGCGAGCCATTTTTTTTTTTTTTTTGAACACATTGTTAAATACATAAAAAGATGATGAAGGAAGGAACTTCAAATGAAGAAGAAATTGAATTAAATAAAAGGTTTTATGAATTATCAAAAATTATTTTACAATCACTCACTTTAATGTAGAGCGGTGTGAAAATTATTAATAAATTATATTAAGATATTTTATTTATTTATTTATTTATTTATTTATTTATTATTCTAGTTTATAAATTAAATTAATTTTATCATTTTATATAATGTAATATATTTATTTAATCCCTATCCTTGTTCCTCCATAACCACATTCTTTTGCCAATACATTGTCTATTTTAACCATTTTCTTGCAATAGCATTTGCCAAATTCATGAATGGCAATTCAATGAATTTGTGATAAAACCATGCTAGAATTATTGTAACCAAAAAAGTTAACATCACCGAATCAAACATATCATTATTTTTTTCAATTGGATCTGATTGATCTACATCCTTGAGTGTTTCAACATTACCAATAAATGTAAGATACTCATTAATATAATTATTTACCAGATTGAAGGCTATTGGATGTAAAAGATAGATACTAAATGAAATTTTGCCACAAAAACAAAAATAATTCCATGATAATAATTTCACAAATGATTCATTGCGTGATAACAGCCCAAGTAGAATTAAGGCTGCATATAATAACCCTCCTGCATTTATCTCCAACCGAAGATCATTAGAATAGCCCAAAACTTTTGATGATAATCTTGGCATTGTACATAAAATTATTATAAACATTATGTAACAAGATAAATCAAACATATTACGAAGTGCCGTGTGAAATGTAGGTATTTTTTGGTAAAAATAATTATATACTAATGACATTAATAAATCCTTTTTATTTTTAGGTTTTTTTTGAATTTTGTAAATGTTTTCTTCATCATTGTTATCATCTTTTTTCTCTTCCTCTTCACTCTTTGGTAATAAATTTAATCTAATAGCTTCTCTATATAATATAGCTCCTAATGATCCAGCTAAAAAATAATGAGCTGTGCCCTCTAACAGTAAAGGATTTTTACCATAAAGATTGAATGCAATGATTGTACGTGCAAGTACTATTATAGAAAAGGCAATAAACCGGCCAATAAATTCTCCTTTTTTTTCATTATAGCTAGTGATTTTCATAAGTTTTTTCCCTATATCACCAAGTCCTACATATCCTATTACAATTATTGGAATAACACAATAAAACTATATATATTTAAGTTAGAAAATTAAATTTTTGATATGTATTATAAATAATAAATAATTAATTGATAATTCACCATCATTTCAGGTGGTATTGACCAAAAAATGAATTCGCCTTTACTTAAGGTAAGATGAGGAACAAGGTTATCAGGAGTTATAGCTTGAAAATATGATTCGCCAATAAATTGATTATATGTAACTAAAATCAAAAGAATGGCATAAGGTGGATATACTCTCATAAACCTGCGTAGAAAAAATTTGGCCCATATTTTAATTGGTATCAAATTATTATCTTCGCATAATTTCGAGAACATTCTTTTCCTTGTTGATAAACTTTTCGTTACTTTAATACCTAGTTCTATAGTTTTTTCATGATATTGCTAAATATTTTAATTGATTGATTGATTGAAAAATTGAGTGACAAGTAATTTGTTTAAAACGTTTTATGATTATGCAATTATTATCGTTATCATTATTATTTATATTAAAAAAAAAAAAATCTACCTCATTATAATTATTCTTGTCGTCATCATTTAATGATGGATTTGATGTATTTGATCCAGTACTCTCTTCGTTATCATTACCGTTAATATTCGCCATCTCTTCCACCTCTTTTTTCTCCTTTGAAATATTTCTTTTTTCAAGGTATGCTTCCCATTCTAACATTGCACGAAATGTTAATAAAAAAGCTGACAGTACAAAAAAACATCGAACGCCATCAAAACCAATCATATTATATGTATTATAAGGAAGAATTTGTTTGAATGTAGTTTGTGAATGTGAATAAACTACTGAAAGTGCAGCTAAACCTCTTAAACCATCAAGAAAACTTGCATGAAAAGTACTATTCCTCGAATTTTTTGATGCCATTTTATTATTATTATATGAATGGAGAAAGAAGAGTAAAAGAGATATTTACAAACTTGGTCATTCAATTTAAATTTTATAAAAATATTTAATTAAAATATACGCATGTTTTTTTTATATTAATCGGTAAACAATAAAATATTAGACCTTTTGTTTAAATGAATACCAGTGTGTAAAATTCAACGGTAACACGACCTATATGCGTAATAGTAATATTAATGGAAAATTTTTATTTTAGAGCGAGTATTCTTTTTAGAAAGAGGCTATTTTATGGATGTAATTACGCATCAAAATTTTGTCATACGAGTGCCGTATATACTTTTTTGGAAAGGCTGCTCTTATCAGATATGTAGACGAAAAAATCTAATATATTAATATTGGCGTACAAAATTTGGCCACCATATTTAGAAATCAAATACAATAATATATACATACATTATGCTAGCGTTTGTACTCATGAGTAATGTATGACTAATACTTAATATAGTATGATCGGCTTAAAATTTTTTTTGAAACATATCCACCGATTTTTGCAACATTTTAGGGCACATTTATAAAAATTTCTAAGGGGTTACTATATAGAATTAGA